GCTCATGCCCTGGGCCCGTTCCCCCTTTAGTGATATCATTGCAACCCCTGAATTGAATCCAGATCTCCTGGCACCGCCTGCTCTGCCTGTGATCACTGAACCCCCGGAATCTGGTATACAGTGGTACGGTGTCCTGGGCGATACACCCCGACTGGCTGCTGCTTGGCCGTGTGCGCCTGTGGCCATACAGCCTCTTTCCAGGGACTCCCCCCTCGCAAGCACGGCAAGTCACCAGCAGGCCCTCACCCTGGCATGGGAAGATGAAGACTCATTCCCGGAGGTGCGGGGAGCAGTGCCATTGGGGGCTCCCGCTGCGTGCCTGCACAGCAGACCGTCACCTGAGGGCATCCCCGCCACGCCGTGGGCTGGGAACACCAGTGGGGCACAGAGCTTCTGAAGGGATGACGTGGAAAACCCCACTTCTCTGCATCAAACTTAAGAAGTTGAACTTCAAGTTTTTAATCAAAAGTTGAAACCAGATGGAAGTGAAATGCCAGAAGTAATAAGAAAAGTATGTTGCAAAAAGATCAAATGGAAGAAAAAGATGAAAATGTTTTCAATTGAGTTGAGAGTTCCTTCAAAAATAGATTTACGTGGAAGCAGCCTCATTTGCGCTTCACCCCTGCTTGGCCTGTGGGTGCACGCAGGTGAAACAAAGCCCGGCCGGCTTGCTTGGCAGCCCTGCTGTCAAGGTCCCGCAGCTCAGGTTTCCCACATCACTGGGCTAGACCCAGAGCTTGGGAGGCTTTCTAGGAGCTTTGTGCATCCCCTGGGCAATACCCATTAGACAAAATGTGTGGAAACAAAATCGTCCTGCACTGGGCCATTTGTGTCCTCCCGTATTCATTTCATTTACTTTCTGCGCCTGTGAAGAGGTTCCTATGGCTTCACCTTCAAGAGCAGGAATACAAGGAATAGGAACCCCCTGCATCATATGATTTAAGATTCAAAAGTCCAGGAAGGGAACAAGAAAAGAAAGAAATAATGAAATAATTATAATAATCAAGATGCGTGTCCTTATTCAGGGCACAGGATACTATTCTTTCCTTCTTTGGGGAATACATGAGCAGAAAAATGAGCCCAAAGACAATAACATAAAAGGCTGTAGTGAATATAGTCAAGAAAAATAAGTGAGCCAGTGCTGATGCCAAGGAGGACGTTGGCTGATTCTCTATTAGGAATTGTGCAGGGTAATTTTCTGATTTCTATTAATATAACATGCAAACACACATCAGACACTCTGGCTCTGCCCTGTGAGCACATGCGAGTAAAAGGCATGGTCAATTATCTGCAGGGACCAAGACCAAGTCTGCTTTGCCAAATAGAAATGACAAAACATGCAGGACTGGAACAGAAGACGTGGAAATGGTAGAGTAGCGGGAAGCGGAGCGAAAGGGCCACGGCAGCACCAGCAGAGCCGAATGCTGGGGAGGTGATGGATAAAACATTGCTCTCCAGTGTGGCACCCGTCAGGAAGGGGTCTGCATCTGCTCCGGCTTCGGGCTACGTGGACCCTTGAGCCCCTTTCCAGCCCGCGGTTGGTTCCCTGATATCTGTGCTTCTCCACGTTTTCATTACAATCCACTCCAAGCCACAGGCTCGCATTTACCGAGGTAAACTGAGGCAGCAAGCCTGCATGGAGCCTATTCCCTGCCTTGCCCAGGAGACACTGCTCCTTGTGCAAGCCTCTCCCACCCGGGTGCGCAGTGAGTTCGAGGCGCGGAGGGGGCACGCCGCCGCTAACGCAGGAAGGAAGCACTCGTTGCTGTGCAGTGAGTCCCCCTCCCCTGACTGCAGAGCAGGGAAAAGCGGCCACATAGTGATCAGAGCTACGGTGGGGACACCAGGGTCATCTTTTCAGCAAGACGCTCACCACCTACCTCAGGAAGGGCCACGTGCCGTCAGCCATTCCCACCTGAGGCAGGACAGAAGTTGCTCCTCTCCTGGGGCTACGGTTTGGCCGAGCTTTGCTGGACACACCACGTACTGCCCCCGACCCATACGACGTGGGAGACCTGGGACTGAGGGATCATTTGCTCCTTTCAGGCACCTATCGGCAGTTTAGGTGTCGTGTATGTAATGCAAATTATTTATGCTTGTTGGGAGAGACGTCTTGCTCATTTGGAGCTGCCTTTATTTTACTGCGATGGAATTACAGGGTGCTGTTTAGCATCCTTTGGCCTGTACATGAATGCTGCGTTCTCGCTTAGCACGTGTCACTGAGTAACGGGCCCTGGGGCTGCGGCTAGCTTTATTCAGGAAGTCGATACGCTCTCGCTTGCGCTCAGCTGCGTGTTGTTCCTAAATCCTAATGCTGTGGGGGTCCATCCATTACGACCCCCTGGGGTGCATGGCCTCAGAGCCACTTTTGACATGTTATTTGTCGAATGTAACGGTCGCTGAATAGCTGAAGATAAGCTGGAGGATTCATGGAGGTTTTAAATTTCCCTTTTCTGCTTAGAGGATGCAGTTTTCTAAGGAGATTGATAAACGCTTTACTCATTTTCTTCTGACATGTATGTTAGTGTTTAAGTTAAAGTGATTGTATTTACCCCAGAAATATGTCCCATAATTGATTCCCTCAAATCGAGCGTGCCACGAGACATGAGTGCACTAACTGTTTATATAACATGGGGCCCTCAGCTGTGCAGCCCCGGAAAAGTCTGGGAGAAAAGCCGACCTCGAGACTTCCTCTGAGTGCATGCTGACTTCGAGGGTGCCTGAAATACAAACTCTGGTAAATGATGAATGTATTTAATTAAAACATACTATTGACTAAAGAAATGTTTCTGCAAGACAATTCCCTTTTTGTGATGCCCTGGCGAAATGGCCAAATCCCTTTCAAGCTTCTGTTTGCTCCGCCACCGTACCTCCCTGTCGAGCCCCGCAGGTAGCCGAGCAGTGGCAGACCTCGCGCCTGCAGGTCTGTCCCTATGGCTCACGCGACCAGGTCTAAGACGCTCTTGCTTCGTGGAGCTAGTCGTCTCCCCCTCAAATCTGGCCTCGTTCCTTGCTGCGAGGAAGGCAGCGGCAGCCACGGAGAGGCCGTTTTCACGCTGGGCAGATGCTGTGCTGGTGCGTGGCGCTGAGGACAAGCCCAGCTGGCAACGGCCCACGAAGCAGCAGGAAGCGCCGCGATAAGAGAAGAGACTTTCTCCCGTCACAAGTAGCCGGTCCATGGACCCCATCGCCGTCACTGCCACGAGTCAGAGAGGGGTCGGTACGATGAGGGCTGACGTGGCCTCTCGGGCGTCAGGACGATAAATGTGGGCGATGAGCCGCAGTCCTGGAAGGGATGTGACCCAGCCTCGAGTGATCAGGGCTTGGGAAGGGACTTCTCCGTTGGGCCATTTGCAAAGCAGGCCGCTGCAGGCTTTCCTGTGTCGCCCTCGGGCAGACGGTGCGGCAGGAAGAAATCGACCCCTGCGCCCCAGTCAGGAGGAGAGGAGAGTCCCGAATTGTTCATAAAACCATTCCCCATGAAGCCCAGGCCCAAGGGCGGAGAGAGCGAGGGAGGGCCCGCTGCTGCTTGTCACCCTGGGCCCAGCTGGGCCGCTCTCATGCGCTGCCTCCCGCCCGCTGCCCGATGGTCGCTGCTGCCCCTGTGAGATGGACTCTGCCCCACGCCGCCGCAGGGTCATCGCCCACTTCTTGCATCCGACCGAGAGATGTGTTCCCAGCTCTCTGCTGCTGTTCCCTCCAAATCCACCGCAGATGAAGTCCCAACCACTGTTTGTAATGCAAGCTAACACCATTTATCACAGAGAAGCATCGGGACATTCTGATTATTTCATCTTACTGTAAAAATAAATACAAGGAATTTCAGAGCGACATTTGACCCAGAAATGAGGTGATTTTAAACATCTAAGAATAAACATAAAATGGGGGACACATACGTTTGTGCAGCAGTAAGCCTTCCCTACATTTGTCTCTTTGTGCATCGGGCTCTGATCAGCTCCGAACAGCACTTTTATCGGACTTTTATTCTCATTCACAGAAAATATCTGAATAAAAAACACCTAACTTCATACTGTGCTCATGTAGCAACTTCAAAGCATGGAGTTAATGTTGCAGCCCGGCTTCCAGTCTGAGGCTGGCCAGGAGCTCTCCGTCTGCAGACAGCCTGGGCTAAGGGGAGGGCTAGGAAACAGGGAATCCCATCACTTGAAATCTGAATTGTAGCATCAAAGTGCTTAGGATAAAGAGTTATCAGATAACTGAATGCTAAGACAGAGCAAGAAAAAAAAGCACCACAGTCTCTTCTGTGATAAAGAAGAAGAAAGAGATCCTTAGAAATACAGCTCCACGAGGACAAGAGGGTTTTTTAGCGTGAATGGACATCGCTAACAAATGCCAGTACAGTCTCAGTTACAATGAGTAAGCTATGGGTGTCGTGAATATGTGCATCTGTGCATGTAGTGGCTGTGTCATCTGGAAGTAGCTATTGTCGTCCTCTGAAGGAAAGGAATAGCCTGAAGCTGAAATGAAGAAAGGGCTTTTTGTGCCATGTCTGTTTGCCCACCAAGCTCCAAGCAAGACATCGGAGCGCTCCGCAGAGCGAGGATACTGTAAAGCGCTGGCACGGGGGCGTCCCATCCTGCTGCGCCTGGCAGCCTCGCACCTCCGCGTCGCGGACTCGAGTGGGGCGAGAAGCCTGCACGGGGACCCTTGCCGATGCAGAAGGCGCTAGTGAGAGGGAGAGAAGAACGGGCTGGGGCACCTCCCCGCTAGGCGGGGCCTGGCTCCAGATTTGTTTCACCCAGAGCTGAGCTTCACGGCTGGGCCAGCTGCCCCCTGCCCCCGGTTCCACTCCTCGCGCGCCAAGCCCCTGCGGGCTTCCCCGCTCTCGGGCTGCGGCATCTCTCTAATGCAGGCGCAGCCTGATGCATCTTTGACCGCTCTCTTGCGAGCTTGCCTTCCAGGACAGACGTACACAGCACATCCCTCAGGAGCATTGCTCGCTGCTGTACTTTGTCTAAGCATTTTCCCACCGTGATCCTGGATCGAGTCCAATCTGGGATCACCACCGTCATGAGAACATAACAAATCACTCTGAGAAACATCCAGCTGTGCTGCTATTGGCCGGCAGGCAGCGGTTGTGCGCAAGCCGGGCTGCCGGGCGCTGGGCGCAGGAAGGTCGGGTCCCCCTGGCACATCCGCGGGGCATCACCAGAGCACCCTTGTTTCCGTAGGCAGCAATGCAAGCCACAGAACGGCCCCGCGCCGCCGGGGCAGCCCCGGTTGGGACCTCCCTGGACAAGAGCCAGAAAAGCAATGGGAGCCGGCCCTGCATAGACATCCGTGGCTCTCACAGGCCCTTTCCTGTAAAAAAGTGAAAGGGGAAAAAACAACATAACCAGTTTGGAAGCACAAAAACCCACGGCAGGGCGGCTTTCTGCCAAAGGCTCAGCACTTACATGAAGAACACTTCTTGTCAGCGTGAAGGCCACAAAGGCATCCAGGTGATGCTATAACTCTACAGGTACTTCCTAAGCAATTGTCTTACAGCTCAGTAGACGTGGGCAAGTTACTGCCAGTGTCACTGCTGAGAGACAGGACGCTCCTGCCTGGCACCCGGTACAGGCTGCATCAGACCCAGGATCTGTGCCCGCGTCGAGGCTCTGCACGTCTCAACCCGGGCGGGCTGGAGGCCTTCTCATGAGTTCTGCGCCTGCCCGTCAGGTCCGACGGCCCGTGACAAGGATCACTGAGCCATGCAACGTGGGCAAGTGAGCACAAGGTCTCCTTGCCTGAGCTACTTCAGGCTTCGTGGTATGTGTTTTAGCCCGCTGCTGATCACAGCATGGCACTTACTGCACAGCACACTTGGCATGTGTCAGGTTTGCCCCCCCCGGTTCACATGGCAGTAGCAGACCGCTTTGTAAAACATCCGTCAGGAATGTGACATCAGGGCAAGCCGGAGCAGCAGGCAGCACGCTCCTGCGCGAGCACGCTCAGGATAGTGCTGCAGACCTGGCAATGCCCGGCGTTTCTTGGCTCACACCTAGGTGCCGATGTTGAAGCTTGTCAGAACTTGTGGGCTTGTCGGCTCCTTCTGCAGTGCGAGACCAGAGGGCAGAGCTGCTGCATACACACACGTCCTTGCTGCAGTGTCAGGGTATGTGGTTGCCATGAATGTGAGGAATGAACAGCCTGACCACCAGGAACTGGGCACTGTGGAGACTTCCAAAATCTGGCTGCTTTGCTTTCCCTGATTTGCCCTTACGTGCTTTGGCCTTTGGAAGTTGTGGGGTTTTAATGTTATTGCCGATCATAATTGTACGGGCAAGTGCTGAAACAGCCTCGAAAGTGCAGTTTTACACCTGCACAAACTAAGGTCTGAGTCACGTTTATAGGGTATGACAAGCTGGGAAACTGTAATGTTTCTTCTATTGGATCCCAAATCCAACCCAGGAAAATAATGCTTGTAGGAATCCCCCAGCGGACATCTACAGATTCATCTTGTGACACGTCAGACAGCTGCACTGTCTCTAGCAGTGACTCTCGACCAGGGTGCCACGGCAGGCCAGGCAGGGGTGCTGCCAGGTCCTTTGAAGGGTGTGGCAAGGTGCGGTGAGAGAAGATAAGCAGAAAAGCAGATAAGTGCAGGCTCAGGCTTGCCCCCCCTGCCCAGCCCTCTGCAAGGAGGCAGGCACTGCAACACATCACTTCTTTTTTTTAATTGGGCGCTGTTCCATTCACAAAGTTGTGGAGGAGTGCCTCGAGACCAGTGGGGGCTGCCTTGACCCCCCAAAGCGGGAGTCACTGGGCTGCAGCGTGTTGCAGGGCAGACGCTAGAGACTGCCTTCCGACGGGCATGTGGAAAGACAACTTCCAAAGGCTGAGGTCTGAGAAACAATCGACCGGGTAGCCACGTCATTCTGCTTCCAAGGACAAGCACCGAAGCAAAGCTCTTCCGCTGTGGGCCCTTTGGCTAGCAGCTACCCTGGAAGAGAAAGGTGTATAGTGCTGTACTGCAAGCAGTGCAAATGTGAAGGAGGCATCCTGTGGCCTGCGCTCCCCAGGGGGAGAGGTCTGCCCACTACTTATGCAAACTGCAGTATAAATGCCAGCCTCTCTTGCAAAGAAGGGGAGAGAACGTGGCGGTTCAGGAGCCGACTCCACGGCTCAGTGATGTTTCTTCCCTCGTCACGAGGCACAGAGGCAGACCTTGTCTTGGAACCTGGTGTGATTTGCTAAGTACATTAAGAGCTTCACTTTAATTAAGCGTTCAAATGATGCAGCACTATTCAGTATTTGCCACGGCCTGTGTGTGTGATGGATGATGTACGGAGATCAGCAAACTGATCCCAGTGTGGTGTTGTGCAGCAAATCCATTGCCTGTCCCACACGGTCCCGCAAGCTAACTCAGTGAGCAGATGCCTTGCTTGGGGAGGGACGCCTGCACCACTTCAATACGTGTCTGGGGACAGCTTGCCCATAGGCGCCAGCCGTAGTGAGACAGCACGAGAACAGCCACCCCTTGCTCCAGGTCCGGACTTCTCTCTCCCTCCTATGACTCCGTGTCAATGTAAATGGCAGCAAGGCATTTTTAAGGGACCCTCAAGCTAGAATTTAGCTTGGAGCTACACTGTGATGAAGCAATAGAGAAATGGCCTTTAATTACCCATTTTAACAAATACCTTCTCAGGAGATACGTTGGTTGTGGCAGATGCATTTATACACGTCAGATGCTTTTTGGTAAAACTGTGGCTCCACCTGAAAAGCCAGAAGGGTGGCCTCCGATTAGTAAAATGAGACTTGTGCAAGACTTTTCTTTCCCATGTTGTAAGGCACAAAGGAATTAATTACAATAAAACATGATCCACGAAAGTCCCAGAAGAATTCTCCAGAGATGGAGCTAAGAAACTGCAGTAAAGCAAAGCTCTTCCTGGCCAGCTCTTTGCTGGTCATAAGAATTGAACTTCATCACAGATTTATTCAAACAACTCAATTCTCCGCTCCCCTGCACTTGGTGCTGGAAGAAGTACTGGTATTGTGACATGAAAATTCAGCTCAAATGGGACTAGCTGATCCACTGGTTGATGGGGAAAAGCAGCATGCTTTCAATGGTTTAAGCAGAGGCCTTGGGGAGTTTTGTTGGGGTCCCCCTCCTGAACCTGCCTTCCTTCACCTGGAAAATGAGGAAGGGAAATGCACATTTTTGCTAAACAATTTTGAGATCTTTGGATGAAAGGCCCTATGAATAAGTACATATTCTTATGGGCTACTGATGAGTTACATGGAAAATGAATGCACCGCTGCTGCAGGAGATCATGTATTTATGTGTGTAGCAGCTATATAGGTGCTAAATATTTGGTAAAATGATCACATGTATAGAATAATTCAAATACTAACTGTGTGTGTGCAACGTTACCGGACACAGCTTGCAGTTCAACACGTGGTCTCGCCGGCGACTTTCTCCATTGGAGACTTGCACTGCTTGCTGGACAGGCTAGTTAACACTTTGGTTGCCACGTGCTCTATGCGACGTTCCTATTGTCACGTATGGAGCAATTTTTTTCCTTCCTTTGCAGCACCCTAGGCTTCCAAAACACAAACAAAGAAATTAGGAAAAATCAGCAGAAAATGAATTATTTAGAAACCGAAACATGTCATTATCTGGCATTTCATCATCTCCCTTCTTCTGTCCTTTGCCTGCTGGCTTGGATGGCATGTGAATGGGTTCACCCCCTGTAGAGTCGTCCCCTTCAATACGACCCGAGGCATTCCCAGCACCGTGCAGCTCCGAGGGCAGGGGCTCGGGAGCGGTGCTATTCCAGGTAGTGCCAGGACGCGGCGCATGTGCCAAGAGCAGCGGTGCTCCCCGCTGTGGGAGGCAGAGAGCGGATGGGGCACCAGAGCTGGCGCTGCAGTCAGCCATGTCTGCAGCAGGAAGGTGTGCAGAGCTCTGCTCTTCAGCCTCAGAGACATCCTGAGGAGCTGGCTGCTCCCGATGAAATGTGTTCCATGTGTCTGGCCCGGCACACATGTTTCTTGTCAGGACTGCTGCTCGTTCTGGGTTACCAAGAGTTTCTGTTTGGAATTCCTGGAGCCGGGGATGGGAACAGTGCTGAGCTCCGCGGGCAGGAACGGGGCTGATCTGCCGCCCTGGACAATCCCGGCAGCCACCCCACGCCCCTGGACAGGGCCCGGGCAGTTCAATGCGGGCAGGGCACATCACATGTACGTACTTTTTTAGAGGAAGCGGAGGAGTTGACTGGCCTGGTGCTTTCAGCTGCCAGCGGCTGGTTACCTTGGTGGCTGGATTTGGCTTTCCTTGGTATGGCCGGGGCGGTTTCACCCCAAGAGTGCTCCTCCACCTGGACCCCTGCCAGCCAGCTTGGACCCCGCATCCTGGACCACCCGCTCTCCCAGCCTCCCTTGCTGCGGGGGGACTGCATCGCTCCCCTCCCTTGGCCTCTGGCGTGCGGCCTGACACGCACAGCCTGCTGCCGCTGCCTTCTCCTGAGAGTGCAAGCTTAGGTCCCCCCTGTGCCCCAGGACCAACCCTGGCCCCCCAGAAGCACACTCGCCATCCTCCTGGGACACACAGATGCAGCACCTTTGCTCGGGCTCCAAGACACCCGATCACGCTCTGCTTTAACACGTGAGAAATACGTTCTCCCCTGGACAGAATCAGAGAGGCGTCCGCGGCTTGGTAGACAGTGAAGCACGAAAACTAAAAGGAAGTGCGTGTGCTGGGGTTACTTTCCTTTGGAGGCGGGAGAGCGCAGAGCAGCTCCACACCCTTCCCTGGGGCAGAAAGACTCGACCCTTAGGTTGCTCTCGCCTTCAGAACCGAGCCACGTGTTTCCAGCATTTCAAATGCCGGATGCCTGTCTCTGTGAGCCCGTGCCCAGGGCGACGGGTGATTTCAGCAGGGTTAGCAGGGTCCAGACACGGTGCCCACCCCCATGGGCTCACGTGCCTTTGCACTTGTCCAGCTCAGGGTTTGCAGGCGATGGTGCTGAGGACTCCCCCGCCGAGCAGGCTCACAATCTGGGCAAAAAGTACCTTCCAACTCTAGCACTGCCGCCGGGTTTGGGGCTGTTTCCTCCTCTCCACTGAAACGTTACTTTCCTCTTCCCTGGCTGAAGGCAGGACCCCGCTCCCACACCCTCACCCCAGGCTGGGTGGCTGTTGGATGCAGGGGGAACAGGAGGGGGCTCCTTTTCCACTCTGTCACTGCCAGCTCCAGGCTGTGGACGTGCTCCTCGCCAGCCCCGGGGCTTGTTCCCATTGTCCCAGGAAGCGGGCAGCGATGCCTGGGACACGGTGATGCCCGCTGCAGGTGGCTCTGTCTTTGCTTCTACGGGATGTTGTTGGCAATTTCGGGCTGTGAAAGCAGCTGAATTTCTGAGCTGGGCTGTGTCTCGTTTGCTTTTTATGGAACTGATACAAAAGATGCCTTTGGTGGTGTGGGATAACATAACGCTGGAGCTGAGTTACGGGGAACGAGAGAAGCCCCCGTGCAGAGCAGGAAATGCTGGTGGTGGCACCTGGCTCTTCTGGACTCCTGTTGTCAGCTATCATTTCCATCGCTCATACAAGCCCGGTTGCTTGTTCCCCTGCCACTTGCAAAGAGCCAGAGCAGCGCTTGTCCGGTTGTTGTGTTTGGCTCCTCTGCTTTGCGCTGGGGTGAATCGGCGCAGGCTGTCTCCCGTCGTTCAGAGCAAACGTTCCCAGGCACACGTCAGCCCATGTCCCACGTCAGACAATGTCCTTCCCGGCAGGCTTTGCCTGTCTCCTGCTATCGATCCCTTTACAACGCTTCTTTTACACAAAGGTTTCCTTTTCCTTCCTTCTCTTCTTCTCCTACCTGGGTGTGAAGAAGCAAGGGGTTAGTGGAGGTCACGTGGCTTCTTGCAAACGATTCGCTCTGGTCTGCTTGAACTCCTTCCCCGAGCCAGGCGTTGCAGTGGATGGGCTGGAGAAGACATCGCGATGCTGAGCCCTTCTCGCTGGGACCTTGCCGCTTTCTCTCAGCCGAGCTAACGCTCCTCATGCCCCAGGTCAGACCAGCACGGGACGTCTTAGGGAGCTTGTGTAAAAGCTGGCCAATTTCTAGGTTATCCTGAGAGGGGAATGTGCTTCTCACACTTTCAGGAAGGTGTTGAGGCCTCTTTGTGGTTAAATCTGCAGCTAGTTAGAGTTTAAAGCTGGAGGCACAGATTGGATGCAGTCTCGGTTGCGGGGTCTGGCTTTGTCTGAAAAAAACAGGGTAAGAAGTGCTGTTGGAAATGAGTGAGGCTCGTCTGTTGGCACACGCAGCCTGCTCCTTCCTTGTTCTCCCGGCCAGCTGCTCTCTCCCATGCTCCCAGCCCCTGCCTTAGCTGTGTCAGGCAGAGAGGCCCAGTCCAAGGGTTTGCTGTCCCACGGTTGTTTCCTGAGGCGCACCTGGCCACACCACGCCCAGAGCTAATATCCGTGTCTGCTGATGCCTGGGCTCCAGCACTGCCCCCTCCTTTTTTCTTTCTTTAAAGCAAGTGAGAAAAACCAACCCAAGGCAAAGCTGAAGTGGATCGAACACTCTGACCGATCACTTAGCGGGCGGTTTCCACAACACACCTAACGCAGCCGCATAACAGCGCAGGACGTGCTAGGGCCGAGGGAGGCCAAGGTGACCTGGAACGGCTCTTGCGGGTCACAGCATTGATGTCCTTTTGCGCACCGTTACCAGCACACCGGTGCCTTTTGTGCGCGTGCAACCCTGAGGTTCTAGGCTAGCGTATGGCTAAACCCCCAAATTACGTAGCAATCCCAAAGGCCTTTTTATATATTGGTGAATGGATCTCCCCTTGCAAGAGAGCTGGGTTTCTGCACGTTCTTTCCTCGGCCGTCCCTAGAGACTGAAACATCCCCGTGCAAACTGTGTAAAACCCAGTTCAATGAGAAGATGATTCAAGGAAGAAAAATACAGCGCACATACGGTCGCTGGCATGCTGCGGACGCACAGGCCCTTCAGAGCACCCACGACAGTAAGATAAGTAGTCATGGGAAGAGGATATAATGGCTTTCTCTCCCACTGGTTCTGCAGCTGGATGAATCGTTTGTTAATCGTTGTCGTGACGGGCAATACCGGTTGGTGAGCGGGTAGCTGACAGGCCTGTCCCCACAGCACAGGCTGCAGGAAGAGCCGCGCGCTCCAGCCACTGAACAAAGTATTCTGGCGTGAAAGCCCAGCGCTGCAGCAAGGGCGATCTCCATGCAGGCTACACGAGCAGCTGGCCGGGGGGTTCGATGGGTGCTGCTGCCATTGAACTAGAGGGGACCTCTGTGGTGTCCCTCCTGGCCCTGTCCTTCCATGACCCTATGCACTGGCACGAGAAGGACAAGCTGGCCGGACAGAGGGGACTGAGCAGCACGTGCTCTCGTGCTGGCCGAGGGAAAGCATCTAGGCCAAGGCAAGGCTTCGCAGTGTTGCGCTGGCTTGGCGCCCGTTTACATGGGCATGGAAGGGCGGAGTGAGGGGACTGCCCGCACGCCCTGTTGGCCCCGCACCTCTGGGGGTGCTGCTCCCGGGGGCCCTGCCAGCAGCTCCCGGCTCAGCCTCTCGCACACGAGCATTTCTCAGTGGGTCTCTTTGCAGAGTCGCGTCGCGGTTGGTAACAGGTGCCACGGACACGGCAGCCCCAGAGACTGCGCCCGTCTGCACACGCACAGACCAGGCGTAGCGTGAGCCACCGCTGGGCAGGATCCGCCCCGCCGGATCAGCCGGGGCGCGACAGACCCCGGAGCGGGAGGACCGCGGGGAAAGGCCGCTCCGGTGACCGGCACTTCTGCCGCGCTTCTCTTGTGGGCTGCTCCAGACAGCCCGGCCTGGGGTACATGCCGCTCGCCACGAGCGGCAGCACACATGCTTTGGGAACCTAACCCGGCTGTCAAAGGCAACTTTGGGAAACAAAAAAGAGCCGTGAGCCTTTGGAGCAGCAAGGGCACCACTTAGTTCAGTGCTGTGTTGAGTTTTTGGGGGGTTTGTTTGGGTTTTTATGCAAGGAGGCCAAATTTAACCCTCCAATCCAGGGTTCCCCAGACCTTTTGCTCTTCACTAGGCCTGGCCCCAAAACTGGTCGTTGCTGCAGCTTTGAGCAAAGTGCAAGCTGAGAGCAGACCCGCTCCACGGGGCCGGGTGGTAGCACGCGGGTGCTGTCCCTGCACCTAGACACGCGGGGGACTCTGCGATCTCTCCCTGCGATCTCTCCCTTGCTCTTAGTTTTCCCAAAAAGCTGTGGGAAATCCTCAAAACCAATAAAAAATACCAGATTCACTGAGGAAATGCTCAATGCCAACTTTTCAAAGGCTGGGAAGACTACAAGAAATATGTTCCCACTGGGGCAGAAAAGTGAGGGAGTTTGTCCTACAGCGAGACAGTCAAAACAATCCTTACAGAAGCTGTGAGCAGCATGCGAGATGGGAAGCAAAATATCTTATCCCAGGACTTTGGGCCCAACCGCAGGGTTGCTGTGAAACTACACGCGCAAGCAGGAGGTGAACCTCTCACGGGCACGACTGTTCTTGCGAAATGAGCTGCTCCAAGGAAGCGCGATTCCCAAAGAGAGGCTGTTCTCCGCTGTGCTGTAATGCCCCTCATGCTTGTCCCCTCCTCCGCGCTGTCAACACGGGTCTTATCGCTGCTTACGGGAATGGAGGAAATTCCAGGGAGAGGCAGCACCGGGGCCAGAGGAAGCAGACTTCTGGAGTGTCAGCCTCAAGGCCCCAGAGCTCAGGCCACTGCTGCATCTAAAATCCTGTCTCGGGATCTCTTTTTGCATGGGGAAAGTGCTGTTCTCTTCCAGAGGGTCACACCAATCCAGCCGCCCCAACCCCTTCCAGTGCGGCGTGACACCGAGGCCCTGTCACTAGCGGTGCCCGGAGGTTTCCTGAAAGCGTCTGGGTGACATTCCAGGGGACGTGGTGTTTTTTTTGCCGCCCTGCATTCAAGAGGATCTGATGGTCCTTCCTGCCTGTACCAGACTGTGCCATAGGGAAGCTGTGGTTTTGCACTGAGACCTGGCTGTGTTTCATTGCTGGGCGAAGTGACCCACGTGTGGGATTTGTCGTTTGCTCTGTTAAAGCACTTGAGTAAAATGGTGTGATGTGCATTAAGGGGGTGACTGTCGCCATCTCTGCAACAGTTGGGTGGACAGGATGTGAAGTTGCAAGCTTGTATTCCTGGACTGCCACTAGACTCTGACAGAGAGGTTTTGCCCAAATATCTTTGGGCAGCTGTAGGTGACAGTCCCCCGCCCCTGCTATCCCCCCATCGCAGCTTTAGTCAGGAGTCGGTCCAAATCAAGTGCACAGCAGCTCCAACCCTGCAGCCAAGGCAGTGACAGGAGTTCCCCGGAGCGAGTAACCGCTGCGGGATGATGCAGCTTGGAAGAGCACGGCCAGGGAGGGCCTGGTGCTGCTAGCATTGCTTTCCGCTCCCAGGTCAGCGAGGAGCTAGAGACGCTGTGGGACAGGTCCAGGGCATGGAGGTGGCGCGGAGGTGAGTGTGACTCCTGCCCTGTAACCCAAGTCTTGTGGCGGCACTGAACCTCCTCTGCACTGCAGTAAAACCCCAAATAAGCAGGGCCAGGCCACGAAACTGCGACCAGCTGCAGGGCTGGGGCGTTCGGCCGGCAGAACTTTCTGGGGCGTGCCAGGTGCCGACGCCAGCTGAGCTGAGCAATCAGGGCTGTAATTACCCACCCGCAGGCCCTCCAAAGTTCTGCAACCTCATTAGTCACAGTGCTGGCGAGAGGGCGAGTCCCTGCCACGGGAGGGAAACCTGACAGGCGTGCCCGCTGCGCAGCTCCCGGGAAACCACCCGCACAGCCCGTGGCACAATCAGCCGTGGTGCTCGGCGCCCCGGGGTCTCTGGCCCGGGTCGGGCTTGGCTCGTGCAGTTCGTTCCTTCTCTTGACATCCCTGGGTGAATTTGGCCCTTTTGCAGCAGATCCCCCTGCTCCATGCCGAATTCCACGCATGGTTCGCAGCCCTCCTCAGAGCTGCTCCGGCTTGGCCTCGGGCAGCTTCTTTTTAAGTTACAGTCATAGTCTCTGTCAGTCTTCACGTTGCAAACCAAGATGATAGGAACAAGCAAGCCGCTGCACACTCCAAACATGCAGAAAAGCCGTGGGCTCCCTACCTCGCTCTGCAGATGTATCCACAGCCCTGATAAACATCTTAAGGACCCAACCTGCATGGATAATTTTGCAAAGCTTACCTCTCACAGGAAATGATGAGGTGGGGAATGCCAGGGAGACGTGAGAAACGGGCCCCCACCTGCCAACTCTGCCGCTGGCTCCCGCGGAGCTGGGCTGGCTTGGAGGACTGCTTTCTTCCCAGTCCTGCCAGTGATCTCTGCAACGGAAACAAAACAGGGAGAGTTTCAACCCCTCTCCCAGGGATGAGGCTGCAAACCCTCCGGCCCTTCCCCGCGCAAATAAAGAGTCTTGACATGACAGAGAGGTTAGACTTGTAGAGATAAAATAATGGAAGTAACGTGTCCAGGTCTTACCAAGCCCTTCACCCCCGGCACGGTGCAGACTCCGCAGGAATGTGGTGTCAGCCCGGGGAGGCACCGGCGAGTGGGGTCTTCAAAGGAGCTGCAAGAGCGCATTGCCAGCCTCCTAGATTAGACTGGTTCTTTCAGACATCCTTAGTAAACATTGCATACAAAACCCCGGGTCTTGAACTCCAGCTCCCCTGCCACTAACACTGAGGCAGTACGTTTAACTTTTGCACCATGCCTGTAAAAAGGTGTACATGATTAATGAAGTACAGACCTGTGTTTACTTGCACTTGTGCTGCTGAAATTGTTTTGAGAGCAGCTCACAAGGAAGAAAGATTTATTTATATGCTCCGCATCGCACTGATAGACAGGTACAGTGATGGATTTTGCAAAGGAAGAACTTGTTAAAAATCATAATGCTTTATGCCTTTAAGCTATAGGTGTCACAAAGGAGTTTTAAATGTTGAAAGCTTAGCCCAGGAAATCTTATCACTAATTAAATTGTTCTGGAGCAGAACAAGCCCAGCTCTTTCCTTTGGAAACTTTTTATTTTATTTCATTCCTATCTGAATAAAAACGTAATGCAGCAGAAAATAAAGCAATGATTTAAGTGATTTTTGGAGGTCTGCTGCTCCTGTGTGATAAATGAGACCCAGGGTCCAAGTTGCAGGTGGCTTCTATAGAAAATGTCTCTCACCCCATCCAGGCCAAGCAGCTGAAGGAAACGCTGCTGGATCAGTCTGGGGTTTTCTTTTTACACTTGGCAAATAATGAATTGGGGAGAAGAAGTGCGTTCCTCACAGGCTTCCCAAGTAAGCAGCATCTCAGAGCCCAGTGGGTGAGACTGACCCCTGCAAGCCTCGTGCACGCTGCGACCGCATTGCCACAAGTATTACTACCGATCTGCTGAGAGAACAGCGTGCTGCCAGCGCGGGGAAGGAGGGGTGTCCTTCAGGGAAGGCCCCGGGCTTGGACCATCTGTTCTGTCCGGTGTTTATGGTACTTTCTGGATCTGGTAAACTTATTTTTTTCTGGAGGTCAACACTTGGGGTTTATAGTTCATAACCCACAGAACTGAGCTGCTGGGTGTCTTACCAAACTTCATCCAGCCAAAGGGGAAAACGAAGGCCGAGTTTGACTACGTCGGTGTTTTTGCAGTTCTTCGCACCTTGAGGTGCTGCTTTGTCTGTTATTTCTGAAGCGAGTCCCCTGCTCTTCCCAGCATTTCGCTTGCTCACCTCCTGACAAGCAGTCTCTTGCTCAGAGTTCCCGTCTCACGTCACACTGCGTGTATCACAAAGTCCTCTGGGAACTGAACCAGAAGAAATGGGAGAGAGGCTGAAGATCCCGTTTGCACGTGTTGGGGTGCTGCCATCACCCAAAGAACTGGTAAAACAAACACCTTCCAGTCAATAGCAACAAGTCCAAAGCTTTCTTGAGGAGGCCTCCAGCTGGACTGGCTGGAGGCAGAAAGAGAACGAACGGGTGACATGACTTAGGGGCCGTTTCGTGTCCCACACCTCCGGACTGCGGGGAGGGGCTCGGGTCAGCTAGAAGCAGAACAAGCAGTCCAGACAGTTTGCACAGAGACAATCAGAGGCCACACAATGATTGCTCCGTGTGAACGCTGGCTCGATCAGACACAGGCTTTCCACACCGAGCCAGAGCTGGTCCCTCGCATCTTGCTGTTGCAGCGCGAACGTCGGTGACTCGGTCTTGGCATCTTGTGAAAGCAGAGGATGCGGCAGGCTCGGACGAGTCAGTTGCTCACAGAACGCGAAGCGGATGCCAATGTTTTATACCTTATTTCCCAATGCCCTCAGCTGGCAGCTGTTCAGCTCCAATTTAGTCTTTGCCCTCTTCGCCAGCTCATCGCTGGAGGTTTAATTGCATTACCTGCTCCTGTGTGGCACTGTTATTCTGTATGCCAAAGCAAAGCTGACACTGGCGTTAACAACCAACCCAGAACATTTCTCTTGATCCATCAGAAAAACAATGGCAGCCTGGATGGGCCTGTCAGCAGATGTCCTGGAGTGAAGTTACCTACCTGCAATACTCTCCCACAGGGATGAATTTCCTCATCTGATTCAGCCGGGACTTGCACAGTAACCGCTGCAGCAGCACGGGCCGCTGAAAGGGCTGCGAGACTCTCTTGGCCCCTGGCCCCTTCAGGGATGGCTGAGAAAGTGGCACCAAACTCAGCTGAGTGGCAAAGCTTTAAGTGCCACACGCACCTCGATGGCAGGGTCCATAATGTTCACCTGCTCCACGCGGTCCGTGTTTCCTTCCTGCGGCAGAAAATAAACTTCAGCCTCTTCTGCCGCTCGCACTGCGCCCTGTGTGTTGGCCTGGGTGGGGCGGTGGGGTAGGGCCCAGCGGGCATCAGGTTGTAGCAGCCCGACAGCCCTGGCCTGGTGCTGCAGTGAAACATGCTGAATCAGGCAGCTTTTTCATTTCCCGCTGTGGAAGGGCGGCCAGGCCCATAGCCTTTGCGATGGTGAGCTGTAGCAATCCTGCCCGGTCCGCACCCAGGTCACCAGCCCCCCTGCTCCCCAGTTTCTGACCGCTAGATGTTGCCCCTCCTCTGCTCATCCTGGGGGCATCGGCCCAAAAGCTACGAGTCCCGTGAGGCAGAAAGGAGCTAGGTGAGACGGCCCCGCTGGCTCCTCGGTTCCCCAGGAAATGTCCACTGCCAAGGCCAAGATAGCTGCTAGAAGCTGAGCACTGCAGCGAGAGCAAGGCAGATTTAGACACGATCATATGTTTATGCTTAAAGAGGCTGCTTTTCCTCTGACATCTCGGCATGCTGATGTGAAAGCAATCGGTGCAGTTCCCTTTACACAATAATCAGCAGTGCTGGAGCAGGGTTCTTGCTGTCACTGACGAAAACCTATAATTAAGACTTCTCGAGATCTATTGATTGTTTATGGGCCCAACGGCCTCCTGGGAGTTTCACAGATCGACATAATGTTCTCTGATTTGCATTTGGAGTTCTAATTTGGACACCAGATGTGAACGCTCTCTCTTACATGCACATCTGCAGCTGCGGGGAAGTATTGACGGTTCCAGCAGAAGTTGGCATCAGGCCTCGAGTACTCTGCTCTTGCTTCAGACCGTGCCACGGAGCGTGCTGTGTGTTTTGCCGGGAGTGCCCGGTGTGGGCCTGCCCGACGGCCCGGGGGGCGCTGGAACCTGGCCGCCTGGCCCGTGGGCTGCCAGGCCTGCTGCTGGCAGAAGGCATGGCCCAGAGCACACGTTTGCAGCTGAACCTGCAGACTGCCCCTCCTATGGCTGCACTGGCTCACACAGACAGACGTGCCCTTCTTTCACCTCCCACCCGACTCCCCTTCTTCTCCCCTATCCCCGTCTTTGCCCTACTGTGGGTCAGTGTGAATAAGCCAGAGGGGAGAAAGCTGTCCCAGAGCCTCTGCCTTCCCCAGGTTGTGTCAGGAAGCTGCTGAGCTCCCCTGTTGGATTGCAGCCCAGGGTCTGCGTGCGCGCCTGGGTTCCTGCAAGACAGAAGTCTGCTGGGCAGCTTGTGTGTCGAATGCCGCACATGCTGCTGACAGCAGAAACCCACTAACGTGCACCCGAGACAAGTTGCCACCCACGTTTCAGTGACTCCCCGGATGTGGCTGTGTCTTCTGGAGCTGGATTGGCGCCGGCTCTTCTGAAGCGCTGGCAGCAGGAGGGCGTGGGAGTGACTGGTGCCAACGGGCCCAGGATCAATTTGGATTGGGGTTATTTTTAAACCACATTCTTTAAGTATGACGTTGTACACGTGCTGCCTTCTGCACAGCGGAACAGATCACCAAACGCTGCCCTGGGAAACGTCAGAAACCCCGCTTCAGTGACATCAGCACCGCGCGGGGCCCTCGCTAGCGATCCCAGCCAAGTGCATTTAGGTGCAAGCACCAACGCAAACGTGGAGCAGTCCTTCTGCTGGCAAATCCATGCGCTTCCCTTTGCACATCTCTTTTAGTGGCACAAGGCCGAATTCACACGTTTGCGCCGACATTTACGTTTCGGTTCCCATGAAGAGAGGCTCTGCTGCTGCCCCTTCTCCCTGGGCAGGAGCCCCTCCTGTCCGCCCAGCTGCTCCTGTACCAGGCAGGGAGCGTCTGGCAGAGGCACGAGAGGTGATGCACTCCTGCGTGTCACCGGCTGCGGCTGCCTCCCAGTGTGGAATTCCAAATACCAGAGCTAGCAACTGTGTCAGGATCCAGGTGCACGAAGCCCTCCCCTCCCCTCCCCGCCCCGCCGCCCTGCCCTGCCCTGCCCTGCCCTGCCCTCCCCTCTGGCTGGGAAGGCAGAGCCTGCAGCCATCGCGCAGATCACTGCTGATGGGGCTGCACCAAGTGAGGAAACCGTATGCAAACCTCGGTTGGGAACGAGGAGCAGGCTGGAGGCTGAGTGCAATACCTCAGTACCACGCTACAGAACAGCACAGCAATGAAGAGATACATATTTTATTAGCAGAAATTTTGATCGAAGTCCAGATTCATAATAATGACCCCATAAAGATTTTATCATCAACTATAAGGCCGCTCAGGCTGAGCATTTGTTTGGCAGCAATCTCGCCCTTGGCAAGGATTTGGTTTAAGGTGTAGCTGAGAGCTGTAAGGGGGCTGGATGGGAGAGGAATGCCAGCTCCTACAATTGCTTTGCAATCAAAAGGCCCATGTCAGGGTTCCAGCACTCTTTGAAGAGACGCCAGGTTCTGCACATGTTTCAAATTATCAAATACAATCCTGAGACAATGTTTGAGCTGAAACTTCGTTATGTCCAATGGTAAAATAATGCCAGAGTCTCGATGCACCAGAAAGAGCCAGACCTTGCAGACACTTCATCCTCCTCTCCCTGAAGCCCCCAAGTTATGGTGAAGCGTGTGGCTAAAACGCAGCAGGGAACGCCCACGCCGTGTCGAAGCGCCACTGCAGAGGTCTAAACCCAAATGCACGGGCAGGGAGGAGCTCCAGCCCTGAATACGTCTTTGCCTTGGGACACTGATTTTCCTTGCTGCTTCTGCAGCTGTTATCTTCCCCCGTCACCACCCGCCCCACCCCAGCAGGTCTTCAGGGTCTACTTCTGCGCCTGTCCGCTCATTCCAGAGCTGTAGGATGGATCGGGAACACCCTGGAGCCTGCACCCCCGTCCGGAGCAGAGATGAAATCAGAGTGGGAAGATCGGGACCGAGCAGATGAGAACTACTCGATGCTCCCTGCCTCGAACCCTGCCCAGAGCAGCTCTCCATGCACCCGCTGCCTCCAACTTTGCTCTTGAGTGGGCAAATGTCTCGCTGCTGGTGCTGAGCTGCCCCACACCCTCTCGCTAGAGGCGGGCGGAAAGCAGCCCGTGGACCACGGACACGCTCCTGCCGGAGCATTAGGAGCCAGGGAGTGCGGGCACAGGCAGGGCGGGGTTCCTGGTATGTGCCTCCCACTGCCCGCCCAACAGGCATTATTTGAACACAAGGCATATTTTGTCTAGGGTTGCTTGTTTCCCGCTTTGAAACAGGCTGGAATGCAAAGATCCCAGTGGTTATAAGTGAGAACTGGCACATAATTAAATGCAAGGATTATTTCGTTTCCAGGAGAATAGAAGCTGCTGCTCCTCTGCTGCCCGTACAGGGAAGGGAGGCTCCGAGCAGCAGCATTTGCAGGGGAGGAGATGCAGGGCAGGAAGGGGGAACCTTTCTGGGCTTGGGAGACCCCAGGCTACAACCCTACAGATCTCTGTGCTGAAGTCATTTCTGGGATGGAGACCGGCTGCTTTTCCAAAGGAAACAATGGGGAGGCTTAAAGACTCTGCTCCCTGCACCGTGGCTTGGAACGCCCAAGAGAGGCCTCAGGCCGGAGGCTACACCACGTAGGTCTGTAAACCAGAGCGCTCACAAGGGGGGTGGGAGCACGGAAACCACGAGCTGCTTTTGGACTGCTCTTACCGAAGTGCAGCCACAAGCGCCTTTTTCATCCTGCACAAAAACATTCGCTCCCACACCCAAGCCGCTATCGCCAAGGTCCCGCCCCGAGTGAAATCTTACAGCTACGTTACAAGCCACTAGAAGCAGAGATTTCTGATGGGAAAAGTCACGAGCTCATCACTCCACGGCACCTCAGCAAAAACCAGGGGGAAATCAAAACACAACCGCCTTGATCTCTTGGCCAGCAAAGGTGCCAGCACGGCTCCGGGCTGGTTGGTGTCAGAGTGAAAACGAATTTGGCAACTTCCTCAGCTCCCCTGAGAGTTTTACTCTGAGATTTCCACAGCGGCACAAAGCGCTACTGTGCTGTGCACGACAGATCCCTGGGGCAGGATTGGGTCCCCTGGGCCGACTTGTCGAATCTCGTTCAGCTGGAAATTCCTCGGTAGGTTTTTCCAAGCTTTTATGAATTGGACAAAAGCATTTTATCTCTAGACCCAACATCACAATTTTTCACCATGGAACAGCAGGTTTTGCCTGGGAAAACTAGCTTTTTACACAGGAGAGAGGGGAAAAACGGTGAACGCTGCAAAACATTTCCTTTTCACAGACCTGGCTGATCTCAATGGCTGTACACGTATGCGCAGAGACTGCCGCGCCTGCTGGGACTCAGCTGAGCGTCTCCCAGGGGCTTGTCATGGCACTCAACAAAGCGTACAGCACACGGAGGGCTTCCCAAAATGTTTAATAAATAACGAGGATCTCTTTTTAATGTATAAACTATAAATATACCATGCAATTCTTATAACTTAAAATAATTTACAGGCTGAGGTAGGGGGGTGGGAGGATGTGGTCACCAGGCTTGTTCCGTGTCAGGGTCGTCCTGACTTCCGGCTGAGCACGCACACGCAGGCGGTGTCGATCCGGATGAACCGCCAGGCAGCCTGCTTGCCTTCCATGGTCAGCGCTTTGACAAAGGTGTGTGTCGTGGTGCAGTAGGAGTTCCAGTGCTTTGCGTCGATCCCCCGGCACCCACTGGACACTGGCTTGGGGTCCCTGCACTTGGTCTCAAAAAAGTACTGCTTGAAAACATTGTTGTTAATGTTCACCTCTCCCAGCACTGTCACCTCCTTGCCTTTGATGTCCGTGGCTGTGGTTTTGTCCCCAACCCACATGCTGACGCTGTCACACACCGAGAACTCCCCGCGGTGCAGCACGGGGTGGGCCATCCGCTTGGCTCGCATCGTCCTGTTGTGGGGGTGCGTGCTGTGCGCGGGCTCTGTGCTGTGCCTGCCCCCCGACAGGGGCGGGGGCTGCGTGCTGAACAGGACCCGAGGGGACCGGAACCGCCGCTTCCTGAACAGCTTGGGATCCACGGTGACATTGGCCGCGGGCCCGGCGTCCCTGCGGTCGGCCTTCGGGGGGCTGTGCGGAGCAGGCTGGGGACCCTGCTGTGCTGTAGTCCGGGGGGTGCCTGGCGTGGTGGCTCCTGCAGGACACCCCCATGGGGCACTGTCCTCCAGCTGCGGTGCTGCCTGTGCGCCAACCCAGAGAGCTACGATCAGAGCGTGGTACAGCATGGACATCACGCTGCGCACCTACAATGGAACAGAAACCCAGCGTTACTGCGGACGGCATCAATGCAGGCCGAAGCTGCCGACAGCAGCGGCCTTGTAGGGCATCTGCTGTGGGAGCGTGGATCATACGGATCTCATCAGGTGCTCATGTGTAAGCCAGATGTGCCTCCAGAACAGCTCATTCGAGCAGCATTAATGTTCCTAATAAAGTGGGAACACTGGGAAATAATAGCGGGATTATAATTAATTCCTTTGGTATTTGTTATTAGTAGAACATTATTTATGAAGCACTTGTTTGGGGTTAGAAATGCGGAGACCATCTGGGGGCTGTGTGCTCCCTGGGGGAAAAAAATCCCCTGTGATTTCTGCAGCAGCCCCGAGGCCCGGGGCTGCCGCCTCCCAGGGCTGCCGCGGCCACGGCGCTGGGACGGCCTGTCCTCAGACAACCGTGAGCAACAAGTTCCACAAATGTCTCTGCCTAGCAGCTCCCGCGCCAGCGCTGGCCGCTCAGCAAACAGGAGAAAAAGCCATCTGTCTGGGTGTGCAAACACGTGAAATACATTTCTTCACGTCTCTAAGAACAATGTTAATGCCCCAGCATGGCCTCATTAGGCACCTGCCCCCACGTCTGCTTGCTCAGCCGCACGCCAGGTAAGAAGCCAGCACCAGGCATCCCACGAATGGCAAAGGCATTCGGCGGGATTGAAATCTCAGCAAAGGGCAGATGCCGAGTTTCCTCCACGGAGCATTAATGAGCAGAGACAGGGAATAAACAGAACTGAAAAGGCTCCTCCCTGTCTCACTGCCCTGTTTGCCTGACATGTTTCAGCTGGCCCCAGGCTCTGCTGCATGCCTGGCAGGCACGCTCCGGCCGGACAAACGGGCCAAATCCACTTCCCGTCGTGATCCTCTCCTTGCCCGGGAGAGGAGCAGTTATTACTGACGCTCCCTTCCCTTGGGCCTCAGACTCCCTCCGCCTCAAGCGCAGAGGGTGAAAGAGCGCGGGCCAACGCTTCGGGCCTTGCTGAGAGCTGGATCTCCCAGAGGCAGCAGGATCCTGAGGTCCCGCAGGATCTTGTCAGGAAACTTATCTCAGATAAGAGCTAAACAGTGAGTGATTTGATGGATTCAAGAAACTAGTGGGAGAAGCCAAGCGGGGGGAGTTTCTGCAGAGAGCAGTGATACTCAAGCCCCTGACGCGAGGGGAGGGAGAGAGGGAGGCCAAGAGCCACATTAGCAATCCTCTGTGCAGCAATCAGAATTGAAGGATGGAGGGCGAGGCTGGTCTCGCTGCTGAAGAAAATGCTCACCACCCCAGTCAGTCTTGTTCAGCCTTACAGCAAGGTTGGGGCTGCTTCCTTTCCCGCACGCTGCCTGGCCCTCGTGCTCTACGCAAGGCACGGAGCCGGGAGCAGGCTATCTGCGAGTCTGCCAGCAACCCCCTGTGCTCCGACAACTCAAATTGGAGTCAGATGGTTCACAACATCTCTACGGTTTGCTTTTTCCAGCAGAAATGTTATTGAGGAAGGGCCGCACAACACAATCCAGACGCAATCGAAACATGCCCGTAACAGCCCCAACCTATTGTGTTTACACACAGACTGCTGTTTACATTTCCTTCTAAAGGAAGCAGAGCTCGGCCATGCCAGTGCAAGGCGATTCTCTAGTTTTGTTTCACGTGGGATTCACTGGTCTGAAATGCAACCAGGGAAAATGTACTAAGGTCACCGCACTGACCTACTCAGGCACAGCTGACCCCTCCTCGCCTGCCCCTTCCCCGCCTCACTTTGCAGCTGATCCATACTTCCCCCCACTGTGGCGAAGCTTTCTGCTGGGCACGTGGCAGGAGGTAGGTTGGCCAGGAAGAAGGTGTCTGTTTGGGATTCGGGGAGGTGCAAAACCACACAGGTGGCCTGCACTCAAGAGGCCATGCTGGCTGGCACAGCCATGTCTGGAGCACGTACATGCTTGCTGGCACAGAGTTACTCTGTTTGTTTCTATTCTTCCATTCCCAAGCTCAGCAGTCACTGGACTCCTGCTCTCTGAAAGTGTTTCAAGCGCATGCCAAGGGAGGCTGAGCTGCCAGCCTTAGGCACGCGATGCAGAGGCATCCCTTGGCAAGCTTTAGCCACGCGGGTCATCGCTAGCGTGGCCGTTCTAAGAGCTCATCCGCGAGCGTGTGAGCGTTTTCTAGCAGCCATGACTCCCGCAGGAGTCCCTCCCATTAGAAGAATGGATGCAAGTTAGTGGCCCAGAAGCCGGGGGCATGCCATGAAACTAAGAGGCACTTAGTGGAAAAGGTGACTGCTCGCTCCATAAGCCGTGACTGCACTGCCGGTCACCTCGGGGCTGGTAAACGAGTCGTCACCTGGAGACAAAGAAAGTCAGTTGCAAAGTGAGAGTGATGAAGTCTTCTGCGCTTCCTGCTCTGGAGCACCGACCGGCCGCTCTCGGGGCTCCTTTCCCAAGGCCGGCCGTGCAGCGGGCCAGGGCGCTGCCCCGGAGCCTGTTCTGATGCCCTCCCTCTGGCACAGCAGGGCTGACGGCCATCTGAGGTGGGCGGGTGTGGGTGGGCTGCTGGTCTCTCCGGATGCGGTAGCTCCGCCTGTGCTTACCTCTGGGTAAACTGAATAGAAAACCGCTGGCCAGAGAGGTCTTTATTGCGTCCAGACGCCGAGCGGAGGGGGGGTGCTGGGTGCCATCAGACCTGTCTGCCTGCGTGGCGGAGTCTGCCTGCTGCTCTGGCCGGGCCTGGCTGCAGGAATAAAAGGAGCTGTTTCAGTAACAACCCGGAAAAATGAGCTTTTCAAGCAAACCTCCCCAGTTGCGAGCAGTTGAGACGGGGCCTGGCAGCTGCCCTGGTGAGACGCCTGCTTGCTGGGCTCTCTCCACCGGGCCTTTCACACTGGTTTTACAGCCCAGGAGCTGCCTGCAGTGCATCTTGCACTGGTTTTCATGGATGCTGTCCTTGCAGCACAGCCACAGCTCAGCCTCATCCAGTGGCTGAGGCTCTTTCTGGCTCCTCTCTGTCACAACTCCTGATTCCTGATCCCTATCCAGCATCTTCCTGTCTCGCCAGATGCAGAAGCAAGGCAATGTGGGAAGGTGATGCCTTGTGGTGCTACCACTAGAAACCAGCCTGTGATCTGGATCCAGACCTGTCCTACAGCGAGGGGCAAGTCCAACTGAAAAGCTAGGATGGTGCAGAGACGAGCAAAGCAACAAGCAAGTGCAACCGCGGTCAATCCCTGAGCTCCCTGAACTAGCACCATGGGTCGGGACAGCACCGCACCCAGGGCAAACCCCTTGCTTGGGCCACCGCTGTGGGAGGAGGCCTGGCCTGCGCTAGGCAGTGGTGTGACCACACATCTGTGACCCGTGCTCTTCCTCCCTCTTCCTGGGACTGGTAAGAGCCTCTCCTACCTGTGAGGTCCAATACAGAAGGTCCCAGGCAGCAAAGCACAAGTGATCAGGGCTCGCCTCCCAGGACATGGATGCCACAGGGCTCTGGGAGTGGCTGCCCTGTGCGGGCCGTGTGAGCCAGGTGGCAGCCGGGAATCTGCGTACGCCTGGCAGGGGCTTGTGCTCCTGGCACGCGGGCATGAAAGACACTTGGGCTGTTTTTTAGACTCAAGGGGCTGATCTACAGGGGTAAGCGATGCCTGTGAGCGCGCCTGCGTCTGGGGGGTGCGGCGAGAACAGCGCCGCCACGGCTGCTGGGTCTTTGACTTGGGAAGTCAACAGCCGCCACATCCCACTTCACTGTGCTGATCCCAGCACCCTCGAGACGCGTCGGCTGCCCACGTTGCGCAGCAGAGTCCGTTCCAAGAGGACATTTCAGACTCAGGCTGGTGACAATGACGTGAATGTGTCCAAGGTTAAACAACCCTAGAGACAGAAGTTCTGTGCTGTAGATCTGAGTACACTGCGTTTTTGCAAGAATGTACTAGTAAAATAATAACCCTTTCAATGTAACCCGTCAGTTTAGTAACACTAATGATAGAGCTATAATATACACGCCACTGCCAAAAATAATCCAACAACTTTTCCAACTGTTTTGCCACCCTAAGAAAACACAGCCTCCCTCCAGCTGGCCACTTATTTCACCACAAGAGAGAGTTTTGTCTCTGCAGTTTTTTTTCACTGGTCTTTTACTCCCGGCTTCCCGGATTCACCGTGGTGGCAGGATCCGGTAAATGAGCAGTGTCCTGTGAATGATGCTGAAGACGGCGTCTGTCGGTTTCCATCAGGCGTCCAAGTCTCAGGGACTGAGATCATCTCATCGAGAAGTGAAATGTACTTCACTTACCTTTTCTGGGAGTTAGGCTAGTTTACACCCCTTCCACAAATATGTCACTTTGAATGGCAAGCCATGTATTTTTCTTCTCTCTTTCTACCTCTTTGCAAGTGCTAAAGAAGTGGCATCTTCTAAACGTGTATAACACTCGTCACACTTGACTGTCTCATGGTGATTAACATTAAAACAGAACACAACCCAACACTTCAAACTACTAAAAAAACCCAGCCAAGTGCAGCCTGGAAAAGGCAAGAACCACAGTTTAAATAACCCTTCCCCCTTCTCTCCGCTTTGATCATCTGTTAGGACCTGTCCAGCATACAACAAAGGAACACCAGAAAAAGGCAGAGCTGCCTGAGATCCGCTGCTAGCTAACAAAGAGCTGAACACCACGCTGGTTATGGAAAAGATGACCTATGTTAAAGAACAAAGAGAAAAGAGACTCTCTAGTTGCCTGGGAGGTCTTAAGCAGTGTGTGCAGGCAGATGTGCGCAAAACAAGTGGTGGCCCAATACCACGCAAAGCAAAGAAACGTCTTTTCCTTTTACTACCATGCCACACGCTCTAGGAGCTGCTCGTGACAACAAAAAGAACAAAAGGGATACCTTGCCTGGCTATAGAGTTAGTTCATACTTAAAAAGCATTACATGGTTTACTCCAGAATGGATACCACTGGCTAAGATAATCGCCATTAAAAAAAAAAAAATCTTTTCCTTAAGCTAAAAATGCAAAACTCCTGCCTCATTGATCTTAGTGCTTTTACGTTTGGGAGCCTGTTGGGCTAGGGCTATACTGCCCCATTGGAAGAATCGGGGAACAGCTTGTTAGGACACTTGGCATTTTGGCAGCAGCAACTTGCACTAGAAACATTTTTGAAATCTATTAAGGAGCGAGACCTCATTCATTAAAAACGTGGTAAAATCTGTCTTGAAAACTGCAAAGCTTGATCCGGGGTCCTTATGATGGGGAGGGAGAAAGACCTGTATAATGATGAAGCAAAGCCAAGCTCATGGCAATAGCCCCCTGTCGTTCTGTTAACACGCGGTAGGTCCCGGCAACGTCGCCTCCAGCACTATCATCTCTGCTCCCTACAACACCAGGGCTGCAGAGAAGCGGAGCGTGGTGCTGTGCCGTCCCCACTCCCCACCCGCACCCCCCGGGCAAACTGAATGGTTTCACAGGAGGGGATACCTTAGCCTCCAGCGTCCTGACAGGCAGCACATGGTTGGGTCTCTGTGGTTAAGCGAGGCCTGGGGAGCTTTTGTTGGCACCAAACCAGAATGCCCCTTCTTGTTCGTGTCTGTCAGCCTCCTAATGTTTTCAATAGGGCTGGGGGGGGTGGGGGGGTGTTCTTTTAACTGACAGGATGGGACTCAAAGATGCAGGAGGTCTCTTCCTGTCTTAAGTTCTTACGGAATTGGCTTTTATCATGAAATATTATTATATGCACTTGGTGGTAACTGCTGAGACGTCAACAAAGTGGTTGGTTCTAATGAAGGCTGGATTTCAAGGGTATTTTTAAGTTTATGTTTAAAGCGGATTCATCGAGCTCT